CCTTCCCAGAGCCGCGTGGGGGTCAGCCGGGAACCCCCCCAGCGCCGGCTCTGCCTATTCTGATTTTATTTTCCCTTTCTCTCTTTCCAACCCTTTCCCCGGTCTTCCCCTTTCATTCACCCTTGCTTTTTTCACTCATTCTTTTCTTCTGTCTGCCACTTTTTCAATTCTTTCTTTCTTTCTTTCTTTCTTTCTTTCTATTGATTTCTCCTTCCTCTCTTTCTTTGCTTTTCTTTATTCCTTCTTTCTATCTTTTCCCTCCATTCATTTCTTCTCTCTCTTTTGGTCTCCATTCATCTCCTCCTTCATTAATTTCTTCTTTCTTTCCATCTCTGCTTTTTTTCATTCCTCCTTTCTTTCTCCCTCTGTCTTGGATTCATTTTTTTCTCCCTGTCTTCTTTTTCATTCCTTCTTTCATGCATTTCTGGTTTCATTTTGCCTCTCTGTCTTTCCAATGCCTTCCCCATTCTTTCCTCTTCATCCACTCTTCTTTTTCCACTCACTCCTTCCTCCTCTCTGTCTTTTTTTCATCCTTCCTTAAACATATTTCTTCTTTCTTTCTTATTTGGGATTTCATTTTTCCTCTCTCTCTCTTTCCAATCCTTTCTCCATTCTTTCTATTTCATTCACTCTTCCCTTTTTCATTCATTCTTTAAATCTTTCTGCCTCATTTTTCATTCTTCCTCTGATATATTTACTCCTTCCTTCTCTCTCCACCTCCCCTCTCCTTTTCTTTCTTTCTTTCTTTGTATTAATCTCTCTCTCTCTTTTCTCTCATTCATTCATCCTCCCTCCTTCCCCCCACCCCCCAGGCCTCTCTGGAGCACGAGGAGGGGAAGATCCTGCGGGCGCAGCTGGAGTTTAACCAGTTCAAGGCGGATTTCGAGCGGAAGCTGGCGGAGAAGGATGAGGAGATGGAGCAGGCCAAGCGCAACCACCTGCGGGTGGTGGATTCGCTGCAGACCTCGCTGGACGCCGAGACCCGCAGCCGCAACGAGGCGCTGAGAGTCAAGAAGAAGATGGAGGGCGACCTCAACGAGATGGAGATCCAGCTGAGCCACGCCAACCGCATGGCGGCCGAGGCCCAGAAACAAGTCAAGCTGCTGCAGGGATTGCTCAAGGTACCTCCAGGGGGCGCTGTGCTGTGAGGGGGTCCCAGTGGTTCCCTGTCTCCCAGCCTGGCCCTAGGGGGCGCTGTGCTGTGGAGGGGAGGGTCCTGGCCATGCCCTGTCTCCCCACTCATGGCCTGTTCTCCCTCCACCCCAGGACACCCAGATCCAGCTGGACGACGTCGTCCGGGCCAATGAGGACCTAAAGGAGAACATCGCCATTGTGGAGCGGCGGAACAACCTGCTGACGGCCGAGCTGGAGGAGCTGCGGGCCGTGGTGGAGCAGACGGAGCGCGCCCGGAAACTGGCCGAGCAGGAGCTGATAGAAGCCAGCGAGAGAGTCCAGCTGCTCCACACCCAGGTGAGAGAGATGGGGACCCCCGACATCTGACCCCTTGAGCAGAACCCCCTTTGGTCCACTACAGAAAACCTGGCCCCAGCAGCGGTTCCCATCCCTGACCCATGTGAGCTTCCCTGTTCATTCATGACAGGAGCCTAGAACATTGACACTGCCCTGTTGGGTCTGGAGAGTGATCTAGAACACGACAGCCATAATCTAGAGTGTGGGTGCTGCTGTGTTGAGGTTGGATTGTAATCCAGAACATGAGCAGCACTTTGTTTGCTCTAGGAAGTGGTCTAGAGCCTTGATACTGCCATTTTTGTGTCTGGATAACCATTTAGAATGTGATTGCTACTTGATTTGTTCTAGATAATAGTCTAGAATATCCACTAATAGTCTAGAATATCCACTCTGTCTGGAAAACAATGTAGCACAAGATCACAACCATATGGGCTTCCCTGTTCATTCATGACAGGAATGGGTTTGGGTGATGCTCTGGAACACGGCTAGAGCTCAGCACTTTCTGGATAGTAGTCTAGAAGATGGCCATTGCCAAGTTCATTCAGAATAGTCATCTAGAACATGGTGGTCATTTTATTTGTTCTGGATAATACTCTGAAATATAAACATCACTTTATTTGTTCTGAATAATCATCTAGAAGATGGTTATCACCCAGTTTAGTCTGACTAAGAGTCTAGAACATGACAAACATGTTTTGAGTGAGGTGATAGTCTAGAATATATGTATAATATGGCCAGTGTCCTGATTGCTTGGGGGGAAATGTCTAGAACTTGTCTTGGTCAGGTAAAATAACATCCTGGAATGGGATCACTGCACCATTTGGCTGGGGCAATAATGTAGAACATTTGGGTGAGGTGACAGTCTAGAATATGATAATTACTCCTTTTGTGCAGATAATAGTCTAGAATATGCCCATTTTGAGTGGGATAAGTCTAGAAAATAGTCACTGCTCTGTGTGTGAGAGACAAGAGTCTCTTATTTGTCTGGTGCCTGTACAGACCTCACTCCACCAGCTGGTTTTAGGCCAATCTAGAGCTTGAGTCTCAACAACCACCCCCTGATTCCATTTAATTCAATATCAAGGAGCTAGAACATTTTAGGGAATGGCATTTCTCCCAGAGAAGCAAATCTAGAACAGACTTGCCAGCATGGGGTTCTAGCCCACCAGGGAAAGAGCTCAGATGGCTCGGATCCTGAGCTGTCAGGGAACTATCTCTAGATCTGATGGAACGATGCCGCCTCTGAGCTTATCTCCCCTCACCCACTGATCTAGAACACCAGCCTGATCAACCAGAAGAAGAAGATGGAGATGGATCTGTCCCAGCTGCAGACAGAGGTGGAGGAGGCCGTGCAAGAGTGCAGGAATGCCGAGGAGAAGGCCAAGAAAGCCATCACCGACGTGAGTGCAAGGGAGTGGGACAGGGGGCCTGTTCCCTGTAGGGGGCACCAGCTCCGATCTAGTCCCAGGGTGGGGATACTGGCTGGCTCAGGGGGGCAGGGAATGACTCTTCTTTCTGGCCGGCAGGCGGCGATGATGGCGGAGGAGCTGAAGAAGGAGCAGGACACCAGCGCCCACCTGGAGCGGATGAAGAAGAACATGGAGCAGACCATCAAGGATCTGCAGCTGCGGCTGGATGAAGCTGAGCAGCTGGCCCTCAAGGGCGGCAAGAAGCAGCTGCAGAAGCTGGAGGCGCGTGTCCGGGAGCTCGAGAACGAGCTGGAGTCGGAGCAGAAGCGCAACGCGGAGAGCATCAAGGGCCTGCGCAAATCAGAGCGGCGCATCAAGGAGCTCACCTACCAGGTACCTGCTGGGAGGGGGTGGGTCTGGAAACAAGAGGAGCTGCAAATCTTGCAGTCCAGAATACAAATGATATGCTCCAGAATGCGAGTCGCATGCCTTAGAACACAATGTGTGCTCTAGAACCTGAAGTGCATGCCCCAGAACTTGCAGTCTAGAACATGAGTTGTCTGACATGGAACACAAGTAGCCTGCCCCCAAGCACGCTATGTATTCTCTAGAACATATGACACATGCCCCAGGGCATGTACGGTCCTATCCAGAACATCATCCTAGCTGTTCTGAATCGCAAATACCTGGCTTCTGACCATCCCACACTAGGACTTGAGCATCGCACTCAAGACACATGCTACAGAATTGTTTGCCTGGTCTAGAACATCTTACTGATCATTGTAGACCTCGGTGAGCATGTCCTGTTCCAGAAACCTCTGCACCAGAACACAAGCTATCCACTTGAGAACGAGGGACATGTGGCGCAGAACATAACCTGATCTATGCTAGACCATAGATGACCTAGAGTCATAGATCCAAGGTCAGAAAGGACCATTGTGGTCATCTAGCCAGATCTCCTGTATATTACAGGCCATAGACTTCCCTGACTTGTTCTAGAATAGTTTTCACATGTTCTAGAGCCCCCAAGCTCCTGGCCCGGGAGGCTAGACCCCGGCCCCTCCCCCGCTCTCCCTCCTCTCCCGCAGCCCCAGCTCGCTCGCTCCGCCGCCGGCGCAATGCTCTGGGCGGTGGGGCTGTGAGCTCCTGGGGCAGCGCCACTACAGAGCCCGGCCTGACCTGGTCTCTGTGCTGTGCGGTGGGGGTCGTGGCGTGGCCTGACTCCAGCCAGGCAGTGGGGCTATAGCGCCGCCAGCCACCGGTGCTCTAGGCAGCGCGGTAAGGGGGCAGGGAGCAGGGGGTGTTAGATAGAGGGCAGGGGAGTTCGGGGTGGTGGTCAGGGGGCAGGGGTGTGGATGGTGGTCAGGGGGAAACAGGGGGTTAAATGGGGGCAGGGGTACCGGGGGGGCAGTCAGGAAGAAGAAGGGGGGTTGGATGGGGCGGCAGGGGGCAGTCAGGGGCAGGGGTTCCGGGGGCAGTCAGGGGACAGGGAGAAGGGGTGGTTGGATGGGTCAGAGGTCCCAGGGGGCCATCAGGAATGAGAGGAGGGGTTGGATGGGGTGTCAGAGGTCCAGGGACAGTCAGAGGACAGGGGGGTTGGATGGGGCAGGAGTCCCCGGGAGGGGGCAGATAGGAGGTGGGGGCCGGCCCATGAACCCTTCCCCTAACCAGCCCTCCATACAATTTACTAAACCCGATGCGGCCCTCAGGCCAAAAAGTTTGGCCACCCCTGCTCTAGAGCATAGCACACCCATTAGCACTCTGTTCCACTGCCAAACTCAAGAACACCATTCACTCCATAGTCTCAAACCCTGCATGAAATCCCCATGGGTTACCTCCATATTCTACAGTAACAGCCAGGAGTATCTCAGCATCCCCAGCCATCATGCTGTTCTAGACCCTGGCTCTTACCCAGTCCTGCTGTACAACCAACTCCTAACTGGCTTGGCTTTTGGTCTAGAACATGATGGATCTAGAAACCATCACCCCTCACACTGGCCTTTTTAACTTGTAGATCAAGGATACCCCAGCAGCCCTTGGGTTTTAGACAGGTCTAGAGTAATTATGGGGCTCTTTTGTTACCACCCCCACTTGAGGAAGCACACATAGACTTATGGTCATGAACGGAGGTTGGGGATTAATCCAGACCCCCATGGTTCTCGAGCAGCTGGGTTCCAGAGCCACTGGCTGAATCCAGAATTTCTTCCCCCCTCCCCCCTCATCTCTCCAGACTGAGGAGGACAGGAAGAATCTGATCCGTCTCCAGGACCTGGTAGACAAACTCCAGCTGAAGGTCAAAGCCTACAAGCGGCAGGCCGAGGAGGCGGTGAGTGTCCAGAACTTCTAGATCCTCCCCATGATGCATTCTGGAATCCAGACCTCCTCCTCCCCCGGACCCCAAAACCCAGATGGACGGGCAGATGGACAGTTGAGTGGGTGGATAGATGGAGAGTTGATGGAAAGGTTGGATGAGAAAATGGAAGAATGGATGGATTGTAACCAATCAGTACAGGGGAGCTGGCCCCCTCCTATTCTTCCTTGAGCCCTTATCTGTTGGAAATCCAGTGGTGGGTAGTTCCAAGGTTAACACATCCCATTTTCTTCTCTGTGTCCCCAGTGGGACAGGCACCCCCTGCCTTGGGGCAGTACCCAGGTAGGTGCAGGGGCCTGGCCATGCTGAACTCTGGGCTGCGCTGCAGACCCAGTAGCGGGCAGTTCCACAGGGTAACACTCCAGTTTCTCTCCCCCGGCAGGAGGAACAAGCCAACACCAACCTGGCCAAGTTCCGGAAGGTGCAGCACGAACTGGACGAGGCGGAGGAGCGGGCCGACATCGCCGAGTCCCAGGTCAACAAGCTGCGGGCCAAGAGCCGCGACATCGGAGCCAAGGTGGGCCATGGTGGGGCTGCCCCTCCCCCTCCTCTGACCCTACCCCCTCTTCTCCTCTCCTTCCCCATTTCTCCTGTCACCTCTTCTACCCTCCCATCTTCCCTTCCACGTCTTTGCCCTCGTATTGACACTCGCTTTCTCTCTCTGTTCTTTTGCAGAAGGGGCTGAATGAGGAGTAACTCCCGTGACCCCCCCGGCACCCCCCCGGCTGCGACTGACAGACCCCGCCACCCCGACCCACCCCTGCTCTCTGTATATCAGTGTCGGCCCCCATGCCCCCTTCCCAGACTGTAGAATAAAATGCATTGTATAGCACCGTGCACTCTGCGTGTGACTTTAAATAAACACGCTCCACGGCACAGCGCCTCCGCCAAGCCCTGCCCCTGGCTCCCCACAGCACAGTGCCCCCCGCCGAGCCCCACCCCCAGCTCCCCCATCCGAACCCCACCCCCAGCTCCCCACAGAGCAGCGCCCCCCGCCGAGCCCCACCCCCGGCTCCCCACAGCGCAGCGCCCCCCGCCGAGCCCCGCCCCTGTCTCTCCACAGCGCAGTGCCCCCTGCCGAGCCTCGCCCCC